CACACACATTCACACACACATTCACACACAGATCACTGTGTGTCTCATAGCAGAACTTGACACTGAGTTGGTGGAGGGGAGGTTGATGTGGAGAGAGAGAAAGAGAGAAAGAGAGAAAGAGAGAGAGGGAGAGATGAAAGCCGTTTTTTTATTCAGCAGTGCAGCCCACACAACGGGCAAGAGAGGGCTTTGTTAAAAAACTCTCATCTCTCTATATCTCTCTCTCTGCCTTGCTCTCCTTTTCAGCCGTTCCTTGAATACAATAATAATACATTCAGATTATATAGCAGGTTGTTGAAAAGCTCTCGCTCTCTCTTGCTCTTAACACATAGCCGGTTTTCCAAAAAGAGGCAGCTTTTAACAGTTTAAACTCAAACGCATGTACACAAACACTAAACAGAGACAATGACCTGATCACTAAAAGCACAGCAGACAAGAGAAAGAAGAGAGGAATCAGAGGCTTTGTGTTTGAACAAAAAATGTTTTCATTAAAAACTTTGCATTGAATCAATCTTTTATTTTTTACATCTCGTTCCAAAAAGCCTGGTCATCAATAATGTATCACACACATTTTCTTACATAAAATTCAGTAATAATATTACAGTTACCTCCCCATAAAATAACTAGTTAGAACCTTACTTTTGTTGTCACCCCTACTGACAACAATCCCATCACATCCTTGGATTCATTTTTGTAATCGTGAACATCAACAAGCAGGAAGATGGAAACATTCACATTACTTTGATCTGAACATTAAAAAACTGGATTGTAATCATGGACAGCTGCAAGTTATCAGCGACAAAGCAACTGAATATGTGGTGGAGGAAATGTTTGACTCTCCGTCTTTCATCCTCGGAAGGTTGCACACAGGCAACAGAAGACCACCAGGTATAAATAATTTGCAAGTTGTTTAAAAGATTGTGTCTCATCAGTGGTTTGAGCCGGTGGGGTTTTCATCCAGTCTGTAATGTTTATAGATTCAGGCTGCAGAACAAGAACATTTACTTTATTAATCCCCAATGGGGAAGATATATGTGATATATTTAGCTGCACTTACCGAGCTATTACCCTGACATTCTCACAGAGGGGAATGTGCGAAGTCTGAATTTTAGGAAGAAAGGACGCAGTGTAACTAATTACTGTTGACAGTAATAAGTAAAGCAGAGAAGTAAACAAAAGCAGGCTTCTTATTTATAGCAAATGAGTTCAAAGAACACACTGGAACCCAAAAGCATGATAAAAACTGACCCCAGACCTGGCTGTTCACATATCAATAAATATACACAATCATATAAATAAATCACAGCACAGTACATGTAACCCTCCACCCACTGCTTACATAAGGAAATTTACTGCATTTGACCTGATTTACACGGATCCAGCCTATATTTGTCAGTAGAAACCATCCTCGCAGTTTAAGCAGGTTTCTTACAAGTCGCTGCACTCACTCCGTCAGCGGAGACAGTCAGGAATCTCAGAGCAAGTCCTCGTCTCAAAATGTGGCTAAAAATAACCTGAGCTGCAGAGCCGGAGCAGACAAAGCCGGCGTTCCTGTTAGAAGTGACTTTTGTCAACGGTAATTCAAATTTAAAGCTGCTCTCTAAAGACTCGGAGTAAGTGTTTGGG